AAGAACAGCACCAACAGAGAAAAATGTAACGTTTTCATAGGCTTTTCGGAGGATTTGTACTCGGTAAAATCCTGCCGAAATTTTATCACAAATGCAACAAATAGCGAACTTTTCATACATAAACTCAAATAAAGAATACCTTTGTCATTTCCGTGCGCAAGCCACTTTTAGGAGAGCAAAAGTTGACCACCCCCCTGGATAGCAAAATTTACTATTTTCAAATTTTTTTATATTTTCCATAATTTAAGAACTTAAGCAATCCATATATAGCAAAAATTACATTTCATGAACAGAATTGTGGAATTGAGAGCAATTTCAAAATTGTCTTACTTTTTTTGATACACCCTGTATAGTATATGCCAAACTTTCCCCGGACGTAATTTCGCTACATCGCTTACACGTTAATTATCTTTTTTATTTAAATGTACATAATTGAAATATGACAAAAAATGATGGCAAAAGTTACAAGTAGATGTTCGATTATTTTTCATATTAGCTGTGCGCATTGTATTTTGGGTATTTGTGCATTGCATTTTGGGTCTATCTGTTGATTAAAATTGAGAATTTTGCTAGCTATATATGAATTTGCTGCCTGCTCGCTCCCTGTGGTAGCAGTAACCGTTGCATGTCAATTTTTTCTCCACTATAATAAATAACTGGACCCCCCCCCTTCTGAACCAATATTTTTAAGTGGCCCCCCTTTTTCAGTCAAAAATACCTCATGACCCACCCCCTTTTTTTGCCAACCCACCCCCAGTCATAAATAATGAATGGTCCCTAATAAACATCAGAAATCCTTGCCAAAAATACCCTAATTAAATCCCTATAAATCCCAAAATATTTGCCAAATTAAAAAATATATATTAATCCCGTATAATATTCAAATAATATTTTCTAAATTCTAAAGATGCTATTTTTTATTACTTTATTCGCATGACCTAGTTACAAGGTATTGCTAAAGCTTTCAATAATATATTACATAAAATGTGATTAACAATATTAATAGTTTTTATATCTATTTTACTTTACTTTACAAAATGACGAAATGTTGTAGGATCTCTGACTATTTATTTACAATATCAAAGATTTGAATTGTGAAATAATTAATTATCATATATAAGTATCAAATTTTAAGAAAGTTAACTACTTCGAATGTAACCTAGTATCAAGGCATTCATTACGTTTCTTAGAACAAACAAAAAGATATTTTGAGAAAATGTTGAGCAAATCGGGATTATTCGATGACAATATGTTTAGTAAGTCATCAGTTGTCTGGAAATTTATCGGTACATTATTAAAGTCATTTTGTAGAGTATTTATTAAATCATTTCTTTGTTGTTCATAATATTTACATGAAAGTGTGAAATGATATTCAATCATGTTCTATTTCACTGGTATCGCAGTACTCGCATAAACGTTGTTCACGGGGCGTTTTGTTGTATCATCCAGATTCAATGTGTAGTTTATGGGAACTGGTTCGAAATTTAATGAGTAGTCTTCTATGTGACGGGTTCTTTATAGAACTAAGGTATTCTTCAAAGGGATGATGAGATGCAAAGGGGTGACCCGATAAGTGAGGATGCGAAATGAATTTGTATCCTGTATGAATATAAAAGACGCATTGTAAACATTGGGAAAACAGAAATAGCTTTGCACTTTTCGCCTTAATTAATTTAACAAAAGGTAACAATGCAAATCTGTACAAGAAACGTAAACCTGACAACATCACAATAATTCATTAATGTCATAGCATCGAGTTTGTTAAAAGCACGTGCAAATCGAACAAAACGCCTTGGACTATATTTAACGTTGTTCCGGGTGGGTTCCGAGTAGGGTTCCTGGTGTTCCGGGTAGGGTTCCGTGTAGGGTTCCGAGTAGGGTAAGGTTCCAGGTAGGGTTCCGGGTGTCCGGGTATGGTTCTGTGTAACGTTCTGGTTCGGGTTCCGTGTAGGATTCCGGGTGTTCCGGGTACGTAGGGGTGTTCTGAGTACGTAGGGTTCCGGGTAGGGTTCCGGGTAGGGTTCCGGGTAGGGTTCCGGGTAGGGTTCCGGGTAGGGTTCCGGGTAGGGTTCCGGGTAGGGTTCCGGGTAGGGTTCCGGGTAGGTTTCCGGGTAGGGTTCCGGGTAGGGTTCCGGGTAGGGTTCCGGGTAGGGTTCCGGGTAGGGTTCCGGGAAGGTTTCCGGGTAGGGTTCCGGGTAGGGTTCCGGGTAGGGTTCCGGGTAGGGTTCCGGGTAGGGTTCCGGGAAGGTTTCCGGGTAGGGTTCCGGGTAGGGTTCCAGGTAGGGTTCCGGGTAGGGTTCCGGGTAGGGTTCCAGGTGGGATTCCGTGTTTCTCTGTTTTTTCTCCCAACACAGACATTTATCCACTATCTGGTAAACCTCTAGGGAGCTTAGAGCTACTGTAAAAGAGCTATATCCGATGTAAATAAAGTCGAATAAAAAATAAACTATTACTATTGTATCATCAATCGGCATTCTAGATGACAGCAAATGTGAATATGGATGGACAGAATTAGCAGGAAAATGCTATAAGTTGTTTTGTGAAAAGTTAAAATGGGACGACGCTAGAATAGATTGCTTCAAGAACGAGGCTGATCTAGCTTCGTTGTCACACAACAAACTGAATATCGCTAAGGAATATTTAGAGCGAGTACATGTCCGACTTCGCGGGGCAAAGACCATGTCCGTAGGTTTGTCTAAAATCGGTCAGGAGTGGAAATGGATTAATGGGGAAAACTATAATGGTAGTGTAGCGTCAACGAGAGTTACAAAAGGTCATTTAGCTTGGAGTAGCGTTAAAGAGAACGATTGGATTTTGAAAGCAGCAGGACACTCTCATTATCAGGATGTTGAAGTAACCTCTGATTTATATTTATGTGAAAAAATGCGAGGTGAGAGACCTAACATGAACACGTTTTGTCATTGGTTTTCCAAAGGTACGTTCACACGCTGCGATTTAATTTGTTGTGTACGATTCGTATTCCGACGTATGCAATTGAATTGGCACGCGAAATGTAGTTGCATTTCAAATTTTGCTGTAAACTAAAAGAACAGGAGTTGTGGCGTCAGCAGTAATTTCCATACGCCCGAATACGAATCGTACACGATAAATCGCAGCGTGTAGACGTACCGTGTAAAAGTGTTCAGTGTTTATTAATCGTTTCATTGTCTATTATTGTCATCATCAAAGCCTGTTCACTGTCCACATAGACCGACCCGACCCGTTGCTTGCTATTGTAGTTTGTTTATTGTCTCAATGTAGATAACGTAGCTTCTCACAAGTTAGTAAACCACTCCAGTGCGAGATCAGAATCAAGTGATTTGGTCGATGGTGACGACGAGACATGCATCACCATCGAAAAGGTTTGTGATATTCTCTCATCAATGTTCAGTTTGCATTGTCCTTAGCAGTTGTCTGATTATAATTTTACCTCAGTCACATGAGGAAAGAGTCCTTCCAGTTTGACTCCATTTAACACAACGCGTAGGCTGGCTTTCAGTTTGAGTATTATATTGGGCCTCCAGGGAAAACATTTTAGAACTGATAGAGCTATATCCCGTATAAATAAAGTTAGTTTAGTTTAGGTTTCAATGACATTAATTCAATCTCAATTAGGGAGGACATGGATTTGCGTGGCAAATTGACTTGGAACACGCAATTAAAATCTATCGAGTCAAGTTAACTCCATCGGCAAAGCAACGACTAGACACCACACTTGATGTATCTTTATTACTGAATAAGAAAATCATCAAATCAAAGAGTGTCCACCTTACAAATAAAGCCATGAACGTATTCTTTGAGCCTCCGACTTTCTCAGGGTTTATCAGACTGGAAACGGTCTCAGACGAGACACAGATTTCGCTTTGTGAAGTTGAAGCTTATGGCACGGGTGAGTATTATTTGTATCCATAAATATCTTAGTCATTAAAGCATTTATATAATTGTCAAATGATCAAATGATAGATAATAGATAGCTTAAGATCTACGACGTCGACGTCAGCTAGGACGTCAGGGCTATGCAGAGGACTGGGACTAGGATCTCGTCCTAATGTAGTCCCAGTCCTCTGCTTAGCCCTGACGTCCTAGATGACGTCGACGTCGTAGATCTTAAGCTATCTAATAACATACTGAGCGAGCTGATATAACATACTGTACCTTTGGCTCTCTGGGCTAGTAAACCTTCGATACCATAACGGATAAGTGGGTTGTGTACTTGATTTACACAGTACAATGCAATTTGTAAGCAGGCTGTATGCGACAGTTTTAGGCAAAGGTTGTGTAGTGTGAATCAGTCTTTCCTTAACCAAACTTTATGTTTTTTTGTCATTTACTAACTTTAGATAACTTGAATGAATTACGAGGGGTCTTGCGGTCATTCACACCAGAGCAACCAGATATTGTGGATCTTTCAAGTCTCCAGGAAAGTACCAAACCAGCCGTACCAGAGATCTTTCATGTTATGTCCCGTTTTGCAAGATCTGACCTCAAACCCAGTAGAGGAAGCTATGTACAAACATTAGAAGCTTATTTTATGGTAAAGTTGAATGTTTGGCTTAAAGTTAACACATACTCTATCAGCTTTTAATCGTTCTCCTTAGAGTTCTAGTAAGGATTATGCCTTATGAATCCAGTGTCATTACAGGTGGAAAGGAAACCTAAACCAAATTAACTTTATTTATTCTGTTTTATCATTGCAGCCAAAGGACAGCGGAAATTACTCATTCAAAACAAGCGGAGAGGATAAAGCTACATTTATTGTCAGAAAAATTAGAGACGATACTTCTTCACTGACCATAAAATGGGATGTTAGGTAAAGATGAACTATTATACGATTTAATTATAACTTTTAGTACTGCCTTGTCACTCACAGATTTTCTCCGAATCTCCGGTTACTCCGGTTTCCTAAAGCAAAAATGGTCAATAAGGGATGTGATATCTCTTACTGCATGGACATCTCGAGAGAATAGTCCCTGAGCCAGCGGCGCCGAGCGCTGTTCCAGGCGTAAGCCCGGGGCGAGGCTACTAGTTCCGCCCGGCGATTTACACCCGGGGAAAGGAACGCACTAGCGAAGTCTAAAGTTCATCGAATATCGCGGGCGCATGGTGTATGGGTGGTCATCTTACTGATCTCAAAATATGGCTGTTTGCCAGGAGTGAATGAACATAATTTTTAATGAGGATACCAACTTCACAAGTAGTGGTTTACAGAGGGGTCCTCGGACAAGTAAACATATACTAAAAATAATTAAATTACAAATGAAAATAACTAGAGAGAACAAACAAGTCATTACAATTCAGTTTTTTCGAAGCGGTTCTTAAATGAGGTTATCGAGGTGGAGCTTTTTAGATCATCATCCAGACTATTCCAGACTTCAGAAACAAAGTTTA